GGATGCACCCCTGCTAGCTTTCGTCACCTACCCTCGGCCTCAAGTGTTCTAGAAACACTCGGATATAGGGGCCGGAGCAACAAGAAACCCTTTTGAAGTGTGAAGGAGCTTTTCGAGCGCCCGCAGATTTGCTTCCGAACTCCTGATGAAGGTAATGGGGACAAAGCCAACCTGAAAGAAGTGGTCCATGAAAGAGCTGCAATCAATGTAGCCAACCCCTCCGGAGTATGAACCAGTGGCTCCAAGAACTAGGAAGATACTAACAGCAGATAACTAGCTGGTGCTCAGGATGGGGCTGAGGAGCCGGGGCGATCCACATTCCCCATGAAACAGGGAGTCAAGAAGCTCCTTGTATAGGGAGTTCCTCAGCCCCTTGCAAGTATATCACGAAAGGTAGCCCTTTAGGGGATACCTTGAGTTTGTCTTGCGAAGCAAGTGTTGGGACGTCCGGGTCTAATAATTGATCATTCAATTCAAACCCCCCCCCCACCCCTCCCCCCCCCCCCCCCCCTCTAAAATCAATTCTCTCCTGGAGAACGTCTTCGTGAGCCTCTCATGATTTCAGGATAGATGAAACCTTCTTGAACATTCAGAAAGAGTGCATAATCACGAAAGGTGTTCCCCGAGGGGATACATACCTAGAGTTTGTTTTGTGAAGCACGCCAATTCTCTCCTGGGGAACGTCTTCGTGAGCCTCTTATGGTTTCAGGATAGTTCAAATCCTATGATGCTCCGATTCAATGCTCACCGATGATCTAAGCCATGGGGCAAGTTTGTTTTCCTCAGAATCTTTTTGAACATTTCGAGAGCATATGTTTGAACATTTAGAGTGCATATGAACATGCATTTACGACAGGTCGCCTCCGAGGGGATAAATCACCATGTCGAACATTGCATTTTTGTTCCTGCCTCTCGCGTTCTTTTCTCTTCCCGCTGTCCTACCTTTCGTGTCTCCCTCCTCTCAAGTAGATACATGCTACTAGAGTGACAACTGGCATCCACCTCTGAAGGGGACCAAGATCTCTTCAAGTACGTGCTTGAGTATCACCGCGATCGGAAGATCCTTTTGCCTCAACACGTCTCCATGGCAGCCGTGCAGCGAGAGCTGATGCGCTTCGGATTGGATGTGAGCCCTCGAGAGTGCCTTGGACCGCATTGGGCAGCCCTTCAAACTGGTCAGTTGCATGGTGGGGACCCGAAGGGAGCTAAGGCAGCTAAGGAGGTGTGCGCAGGTGCCTACGACGGAGCAACAGAGGGAGAGTTGCCTAAGTATCTGCATTTAGCCGGCCACTCTCTTTAGCATAGTTGTTCTTTCGTTGAGCAGTTGCCTGCTTCGGTGTTGTTTGATACGTTTTGTCATCGATAGAGGCAGGCATGTGTTTGCTGTGTTTGTGCATCGAAGAATGGACCGCGCGATGCTTATTCTGATTGAGGACTGTCATCATGTTTTACTACTCGGATCTGGGATGGTAAGTAGTAGTGGCACTATTTTTTAGTGTTGGACACTGGGACGTAGCAGATGCAACCTGAACGCCAGCAGCTCTTTGCCTCGACGCCAGTCGCAAAAAAACCGTCAGTCGCTCCAATTTGAGCTCCAAATTGAAACAGCAGCTTTGGAACCAGATTGGGTTTTGGGGTGCAATGTTTGCAGACATTGTTATGTCACTTGCACTGGACTTTGCTCTTCCTTTTTCGTTGCAGCCATCTCACAGTTGTGGCCTTTTGCCTCGTGCTTCGCAGTTGGTTCCCCCATGCGGTGGAAGCGTTCAATCAGTGAGAGGGAATGCATCCGGCCAACAGCTCACAAAGAGAATGCCACTTCGAGGTTTCCTAACTTTCCAGCTAGAGCTATAGGTCAGGAAGGCTAGTATTCGAGGCTTATACACTGCACTTCAAATTAAAAATGCCCCGGAATGCGAACCACAAAGCAGTTGTGCTGATGCGGGTTTCATGTTGCCGGCTGAACCCCCATGCAGTTAAGCCCTACACCATTCATATAACTGTCCAGAGGTGGGGAGCTCTTGACAAAGCCTGTGCTTGTCAAACACTGCTTGGTTCTTGCATGCTTGGATGTGCTTCTCACCGCACTTGGCGTACCTACTGGATCTGGCAGCGGCTCCTGCCAGCTTCCAGAAGGCCACTCCTTTGCACAAATTACAAGGTGTTTCTATTCCGGCAACCTTTGCGGTGCTATTCCAAACTTCTGGATACTGTAGACTATATTTGTCTTTTGGGATATGAACTGAAGCGTAGAGGCCCCAAACTCATGGTAGGTCCTGGCTGGTAAAGATCCCACAGTGCTCCATTCTGTTTTTGTTGCTTTGCATCATGGGGTCCATTATCATCCCATACCTACAAATACTCATACTCTCCCTCCGCGTTTGACTGTAGAATATATTAAGCACGCAAACGAGACGCACAGAGACACATTGCATTTGCACTGCATGGACCACATCGAGCTTGCCAACAGGAGCGCAGCCTTTATTGTTTGGTACCCGAAACCCAGTGCTCAAAGACATCTCCACATCTCCCCCCCAAAAATCAGCAGCCGAGCCTGCTCCAGACCTGCTTCTTTAATTCAGGTCTTGGATGGGTTTCCTGATTCACGGGGCTGTTGCCCCACCGTGTCAGCGTCCGAAGCAACACCGATCACGTCACCTTTCGATAGCTTCCACACAACGGCCCAAACTCAGCCTGTTTGGGCAGAGGAAGAAGTGGCCCAAATGGTTGGAAGTCCAGAACGTTGAAACACGACGTTGGGCGTTCGTGCCTTGTGTGTTGATTGCAACAAGAGCTGATGGAACTGGCCCAACCTCTTGTTTTGTTGGTTTGTGTGCTTTGGCGGAATCCTGCGGGCAGTCTTACTTTTGTTGAGCAGTCACAGGCCAGTTGGATTATATAAAGGATGAAGTCATGAAGTCCCTTTTCGTGTGTGATCATTGTTTGTCCAACATGCTGTTCTAGATTCTAGAAGAACATATGTATCAAATCTAGATAAATCAAGCGGTGTTTTTGTATCAAAGAGCCAATATTTGCTAAGTATTTAGTTTGCGTTCAGCATGTTTAAGCAAGGATTGTGCAAGATGGTGTCCTGAAGAAGCTTGGCGAGCAAAAGGACGAAAATGCTGCACTACTGCTGGTGAGCATAACCGCACCGGTTCTGATACAGAAGGCCGCGTCATCAAGAGGAATGACCATTTCTGCTTCTTTTGATGAGGTTCGAAAGCAATACAGCTCCTCTCTGGAACACAACTCCGTGTTGCAAAGTCTGTTCAGAGGCTTCGATGAATCGCGATTCAAAGAGTCAATGACGGCTTTGGCCGCTTCGCTGGGATATACAGCGACCTTTCCGCACAGCTATGGCCCTTATGCACATTGCTGTAGCACCATGGTTACTTGGACACCAGCGGGCTAAGCACCGCCATCCTATTGCACCGCACCCGCGGATTGCTTCGCCCTGTTGGACAAAAAGAGCAACGAGGGCATGAGTTGGGTTGCCACACCCGTGGCTGGTGCTGGGCAAGTGGAAGACCTAAAGGGTGGTCATACTCCAAGAAAATGCAAAGATGATGCCCAAACCAATTGCATGGGCAGCCCCCAATCCAACCAGGTTCCTCACATTGACTATACCGCTGAGGCAGTACACCTCCGAGTACATGAAGGGCCCTATGTACTGGCACCCGGACAAGATGCAGGGCTTCGCACCTGACTATCCAGGACGACCCATCGTGAAGAACGGCAAGTACACCAGTCCCTTGGATGGATTTCATCCAAGCACTGCTTGGATGAGGCGGGATGCAGAACTAGTGCTGTTGAAGAAGCTGGTTTGATTGTAGGGAGGGTGCCTGACTTCTTAACTTGTGGGTTGTTTGCAACACAAATTGTCAATCGGGGTTGTAAAAGTTGCAAGCGTTCTGTTTGTTCGGCTCAGGTTCCAATGGTAGGTTCAACCTTTTTGCACCCCGTTGCCATTGGTGTTCGCCCCAATTGTTGGACAGGGACATGTGGGGTGCAGAGGGAGGCCATTGTGGCCCAAGGCTTGTCCGCCACTCTCACTCAGAGAAGCGCCGGCCACTGAAAGGAACCGACCAATTCAGCTATGCTATATTGGCTTTGTGGGGAAGCGCGCCCAAAAACAATCATATGATATGTTTGAAGCAGAGTTTGGAACTTTCACAGCTTGTTGTTGAGGGGTTTCAGCGGCAAATGGTTGAGTAGATGGCTTGGAGTCTGTGGATTTCCTGCTTGGTTTGGTTTCGTGCAATTTGCAGCCATCAAATGCTCAACATGTTGGTGCCATGTGATGGATGAACCTCAAGTGCATGATGTGCATGTTGAGGTGTTGATCCTGGACCCCAAGTCGGGGTGGCCAATGGACACCCCTGATATCACCAATGGACCCCAAGTCGGGGCTGGACACCCGGAATCCGGCACCGGTGCCGGATGGCGTTCGTTCTGTGCAGCTCGTGAGCCACGATGGCGTTCGTTTTGGGGCTCAGCGGATCGGGGGAAACGAGAACCGATCGATCTTTGGGGAGAAGTGCTGGGCATCCAACGGTCCAACGGTCGCTGGAGAGATCTCTCCGCAACTCAAGTGGGTCTATTGCCATTTCGTTGCAAGAATTATTTAGCCTTGCAGGTGCTTGGTTGATTGATGTTGATAGGACTTCACAAAAAAGACATGAGCTGGTGAGGCGTTTTCTCTTGCTCTTAAGTTCCTGCGGGTTTCTCCGACCAGACCCCAAAACTCCGGCGCCCTGGATTTGGATCTCCGAAAACCAGAATCACGGAAGGCACACCGACACCTCTCCGATGCGGCTACCAGCCGACCCGGCTGGTTAGGCGGACCGACATGGACCGGACACCGCTCCAATGCAACCCGCCGTTTTGCAGCCGGATCCGGCTGGGCTGAGGCAATGTGATTGGCAACCTGAAGGCTTTCAGTTCCAACGAGTTGGCCTTCCTGTCGATGCTCTTCTTCGGCGCTCCTCGGACGGGGACCCGGTCGCGAGCGGGACCAAGGACTCCGTCTCCGGAGTCCGAGTTGTGACGGTTCGTGACGGTTCAACTTGTGGAAAGAGGGGATTGTTTTATCCAAGTGAATGGGCGCAGCTTTAAGAGAGAAGGCAAGAATCTCGGAGGGCGATGTAGTTCCGTGGGGTAGCCAGGAATGAGCTTACAGTAGATAGGAAAGGTACTCCTGGAAGAAATCAACCTGTTTCCCCAGGATTTCTCTTTGAGTTCATGGACTGAACTTTTCAGCCACTTGAACACATGTGTTTCATGTTTCCTCCATTTGATCTGACGTTGTGCCGATCCTCTCGAGCCGCAGTGATCGTCCCCTTTTGCATCGTGCACGCATGGCGGAAAAGACGGGCATCTTCGTTTCTTCTTAGGCACCTTCGTTTTCGACAGTGGTAACCGGAGCATTGGCTATGCCGAATCCAGGAGAAGCCTTAGGAGATCCGGACAGACGTGAAGCTGACCTTGACGACGATGAGGGGACGAGCACCGCGGCTGAGGTCAAAGGCAGAAGAGAGTGGACGGAAGAAGAGTGGAGAGAGTGGGATGAGCGATGGTGGCACGCTGGGCAGAGCGGTTGGTATGGCTCTCCATGGCGTGTCGAGCACGTGAAGGATGATGCAGGGGCAGCATCCACAGCACCTCCTCAGTCGAAGACGGACCCTCCAGATCCGTGGCAGCAGAGATCGTGTGACCCATGGTCCAGGCGGACATCCGTGGCTACTGGACAAGCTGATCAGCACTTCCAAGGAGCGTGGTCGACCTGGTGGGCAGGGGGCTATCAGTCCAAGGGGGACTATAGCGATCCTCCATCCTGGTCAGGTTGGAACAACTATAGGTTGTGGCGAAGGGCACTCCTTCGATGGAATGCAAACACCGACGTAGCCATCTGGAGGAGAGCTGAGAAGGTTCTCAAGACCTTGGACTGGGATCTTCAGGCCAAGCTAGATCATCTTACCGAGACCACTTTGTCCAGTCCGTCCTACCTCACCGAGATCCTCAGTGTTTTGGACATCCTCTCTGGGGAGAAAGAAGACTCTGACCGTCGGAGAGCGGTCCGAGCTGCCTTGTTTGAAGGCGCTAGGAAGCCAGACGAAGGACTGGCTCAGTACGCCTTGAGGAGAGAGTCCCAGTTTGAGCTCGCGAATCGGTATGTCAGCCTTCCGGAGGACATCAAGGGCATCCTTCTTGAAGAGCAGTCTGGGCTTCCCAGACAAGCGATGCAGAATCTTCGAGTCTTGACCAAGGGTCAGCACTCTTACTCTGAAGTGAAGAAGGCCTTGCAGATATTGGACTTGGATGAGGAGAGCATTATCAAGAGTGGCAAGACAAGCTACTTCGGTGGAGCTTCCGAGGTGGAGCATTCCGAGTCCGACATTGATGATGAGGAGATCTTCCTGGCTTTAGAGGCGCAGGAGGTCGACGAAGAGGAAGCTTTGTGCCTCATGGCCGACCTTCAGCAGGACCGAAAGAGAACCTGGAAGGAGAACAAGCTCTTGAAAGCCGCCAGGAAGAAGGACCGTCGACACTTTGACGATCGGAGCTCCAGGCCGAGCCGGCCATTCAACAGGAGAAAGATGTCCATCGAGGAGACAAGAAAGTGACCTTCTGCAACAACTGCGGCAAGAAAGGTCACTGGCGAGAAGATTGTCCGGAACCACCCAAAGAGGGAACTCGCAAGAGTGTCGATAGATCAGTCAAGATGAACGCTTTTGCCTATCTTGGAGTGGCAGAAGGCTCAGCGAGCTCACCAGCGTTCTTGGTCGGAGACTATCTGAACTTCCAATCCGCGAACAGCGGTTGCTTTTTGGAAGTGGCAGCAGGTCATGCCATCGTGGACCCTGGAGCTTCGCAAGACCTCATTGGACTGCGAAGCTACGAGAAGCTTGAGAAGAGGCTGAATGAAGTTGGTCTGAGAACCATCAAGCTTGAGGAGTCCCCATCCAAGGCTTCCGGGGTCGGAGGAGACGCAAAGTCTCTCTTCATGGCCCTCTCACCTTGTGTTCTTGGCGGACAACCAGGTGTGATCAAGCTGACCGTAGTGGCCGATGACATCCCACAACTTTTGTCCATAGGACTGTTGGAATATGGGAAGGCCATCATCGACACCGGGAACAATCGCATTCGCTTTCAGGCTTTTGACACGGAGACCACCATGAAGCGCCTACCTTCGGGCCACCGCCTCGTAGACATTGCCGACTGGGACGGCAGTGATTTTCCAATCCCAGCCAAGTTGTCAGAGGAACTAGGACTTCCTTCTCGGGCCTTTAATGTGCCCTCGTCAGAGCGTCGAGCATACATGGCGGCGAGCCCTGAGTCGGTCGAACTGTTTCAGTTTCTTGTTTTTGTAGGAGTGAGCATGAGTCAACTGAGTTTTGAATCGAGTGCGGCCATCTGTGATCCGTTGCTTGGGAATTTTTTCACGTTTCGAGAGTTCACTCAACAAGACACACAATTTCTCTTTCGCACGTCCTGGCTGGTGCATTGCAACACGTGCTGTTTGCTTGAGCTAAACGCGAAACGTGAGAGACCAAACGATGCTGAGTTTCAAAGAGATGTCTCGGAAGTCACTGACTGTCCTTTAGATTTCACTGAACGACACTGGTCCACTGCTAGGGTCATGTCACTTTTTTCCCAGCAGAGAGTGAGACTTCAGACCTCTCCTGAGCACGTGTTCACACTGCACCAAACCGATCGTCCCTCTGACGCCTCAAGAGACAGCGTGAGCGCGCTTCGCGATCAGCACCATAGAGCCCAATCTGAGAAAGTCTTGCATCATGGCGTCTGCGGGACTGATGACATCACGAGCAAAGAAGTCCCGTGTTCGCTCCGAGGCCGATCGAGAGACTCTGGAGAATCATTGGTACCACTTCACGAGAAAGATGTTGATTCTCTCTCGAGGACCAGGCTCCCTGGAAGCTCTCAACATGAGGGAGCTGCCCCTCGATGCGACGACGTCCAGGCCAGGACCAGCTGGCATGGGACATACGAGACAGAGGACACCAGGAAGATTCCACGACCTTCGGAGTGCTCCCATCCCAAGGCCTACGAGGTCAAGGGTGCGAATCAACACGGAACTTGGACCAGATGCTCGATGTGTCAGACCAAGTTGACCTTTGTCCGCTACAGCAAGGACAATCCTCCTCCGGCTGCCCGCATGACCAAGTCAGCGACGGTGGAGACCTATGTGTGAGCAAGCCGGCACCTAGCACGCCGGGCGCTTCGAGCGGCTATCTACCTCCACCCATGATGACTTCGGAGACCTCACCGCCGCCAGATCTCATGCCGGACATCCAACGAGCGCTTCAGGGCCAGACACAGCAGCTGGCTCAGAGCACTGCTGCCGTGATGTCTCAAGTCATGTCTCCTGTCATCGAGGGATTTCACCAGGCTCTGCGCTGTCAAGTGGAGGAACAGCAGAGAGCACAAGAGCGACAGGACGCCCAGATGCAGCAGCTGTTCTTGGCACAGCAACGCATCATGCAACAGAACGACATGACGAGGCAGCAGGGCGCCTGTTTCCCAGCTCTTTCCCCAGAAGAGATCCAGCGGCTGCTTGCGCAGGGCTTTGCCGACACGAGGCGCTACATGCAGCAGCAGGGGATCAACGAGGACGAGGACTGGGATGCCATTCCGGAGAGTCCTCCGGGTCAGAACTGAGGGATTGGGCAGCTCAGAGTTTCACCAGTCAGAATTCCACGTCAGACAGTAAGTGTATAGATTCCCACAGGAGCACGTGGTTGACTGTTCCTTTTTCTCAAGCATCTAGGAAGCTTGCCTCCTCGATCAACCCCGAATCTTGTTTTATTGCTGAGCAAGAGGTCAACGGAACTGTTCGTGAGGTGTTTCTTTTGGAAGTTTCTGACTTGTCGGATGAACTTGTCTGTCATGACTATCCTGAAGGTCGTGAGGCACAGCTGACTAGGAAACAAAAGAGGTTACTGTTGAATTCACTCCAAGATTTTTCCGCCGAATTCGATTCTTTTGCTGATGAGAGTGTAGATGTGGTGACAAGAACAGATCAAGAGCCTGGGAGCCGACAAGAAAGGAAAGAAGAGCATGAAGGCCAACAAGAAAAGAAAGAAGATGGCTCGAGTCACGCAAAAATAGATGCGAGATCTGAGGGCCAACAGCGTCATCAGTTCTGTGGAACTTCGGTGTCTGCAGAAATTTCCAAAGACTCTCGCTCGTCCGTCCGAACCGATCGCGTTCGACTACCTAGCTCGACAGAGCTTAGCGCCCAGGGTTTGAGCAACGTGCGAGCTTGTAGCCATGGATTTCTTTCCCAGAGCTTCAAGATCATGGAGGTTTTCTCTCCTCCTCGCGTGACCGAGATGGCGAAACAGCGAGGATTTCTCACCACAGAGCCACCCAACTTTGACCTCACCAACGGCTGGAACGCTTTGCATTTTGAGGACCGACGGCAGCTTTGGAAGACACTGGAAGAGCAATCGCCCGATCTAGTCCTTCTGAGCCCAGACTGCCGACTTTTCAGCGTGTTGATGAATGTGAACCTCAAGAGAATTGCTGTCGAGAAGCTGACCAGAGAACAGATGGAGGCGGCTCCTGACTCCCTACCTGCACTCCGATGAAGTCACTTGCACCAATTCGCAGCCCGTCGAGAATGACCTGTATCATGTTTTTAGGGTATATCTGCGCTTTCTTCGGAAGGCCACTCTCAAGATGTACGTGATGATGTGTCTTGGTGCACTGATACTGTGAAAGCAGGAAGGCAATTCCGGTGTGATTGGTGACGATTCCAGTGGCCTTCCGTGAGAGACCCTGATCGCTCACTTGCAGTCCGAGTTCACACTGGTCAAAAAGAAAACGAAGCACTCCTTTTTGTCTCAGCAGCCATGCAACCGTGTGAGTAGCCCATGACGAGGCGCCGGCCGGCTGTTCAATGAGGAAGAACTTGCCTCGACTGAGCTGAAAGCTAGCGACCTGAATGCAGAGGTGCCACACAATCAGTTGTTGACGAAGGTTCAGACTCAGAAGTCCCAGTGCCACAGCCGAGAACTCCAGGCACCCTGAACAAGGACATGTCTCCTCTTCTGACCCCCGAGCAGAAGAAAAAGATACAGCTGATGCATCTGAACATGGGACATCTTCCCAAAGAACAGATGCTCTCCATGCTCAAGGCAGCCGGTGCCAAGGAGGGCGTCATGAAGTATGTGAAGGACTCCTTCAATTGTGAACACTGCATGAGACAAAGGAGGCCCATTGAGAGAAGACACGCAGCATTGCCACGGACATTCATGTTCAATAGAATAGTCGGTGTGGACTTCTTGTATCTCTCATTTGAGAACCGAACTCAAGCCTTCTTGAACGTGATCTGTCAGGGAACAAATTATCAACAAGTTGCCCATCTCAAGAACTACGAGGGAGGAGTTCCATCCTCTCAAGAGACTTGGCTTCTCTTTTGCAAGATGTGGATTCATCCCTTTGGAATTCCCGAGACTGTCGTCACCGACGGAGGATCAGAGTTCAAGCAGCAGTTCGAGAGGTCACTCGAACAATTTGGAGCCCTTCAGATCATCACCGATGCCGCCTCTCCATGGCAGAACTCGAAGGCCGAGAGACACGGAGGTTGGGTGAAAGAGAGAGCAGAGATGGAAGTGAATTCGGGTCAGACCATCCTCAGCAGCGTGGGTGAGCTTGAAGAACTCGTCATTTGTATGGTAGCCTGCAAGAACAGGTGGTTTTCTCGCGGGGGCTATAGTCCCTCCCAGCTTGTTTTTGGAATCAACCCCAGGGTGCCGACTGAGTTGCTCGACGATGACCCAATGCACGACCTGGGATGGAGAGAGATTGACACAGATCCCTATGACCAAGATACGGCAGCCTCAGCCTTCACCAAGGCTCACCATATTCGCCACAGGGCTCGGCAACTGTGCATTGAAGCAACCAGCCGGGACAAGATCAAGAGAAGTTCAAGTCAAAGAGCACACAAGCAAAGAGAGTGGGCTGTTGGTCAGTGGGTCTATGTGTGGCGTCGATTTCCTGGCACTGGCCAGGGACACCTGACCAGAGCCAGATGGACAGGTCCGGGCATTGTCGTACTTCAAGCCGGGCATACCGTCTGGGTATCCATGAGGGCAAGACTTTGGAAATGCAACTCAGACCAGCTCAGGCCGGCTTCTCATCATGAGTCGATCGGAGCAGATCTATCGCGCTCAGGAGAACTACAGGACTTGATCAGACAGGGCAGGTCTGCTAAAGCGGGTGCCGTAGACGTCACAGCAGAAGGAACCCCAGATGAAGAAGACACAACTTCCGTTCCATCGCACGACCAGGTCGAGCCAATGGTCTCACCAGCAGCTGACGTGCCAGCGGCGATTCAACTGGAACCAACACCGTCCTCAGAAACCCCCCCTGTGGAGACAACATCTCTCCTCAGGAACATCAGAGAGCCTCAAGCCGCAGTTCCCATCGAGGATGACAGATCAGCCCTGGAAGACACCTCAAGCATGTCAACCATCAAGGAAGGCAGGAAGAGACCGACTTCAGCAGACGAGACAACAGCAAGCAAGAAGAAGCAGACCGCTCCAGTAGGTCGAACTACATCGGCGTCAACCAGATCCAAGAGACAGATCTCTGAGACAGAACATCTTGAAAGAGTTGCCCTGAGGACCATGAAACGCATGGACAGAGAGGAGAAGATGAGAAGACTAAAAGAGACCTCCAGCGACTCAGCTGTCAACCCTCAGACAGCAGCAGCTTCGAGCGATTCTGTCAATGAGAGTGCGGTCCCCAACCAGCTGAAGGAGTTTCAGAACCAGTTCAAGGAAGAAGCTCCTCAGGACAAGAAAGACTTAGAGGAAGATGATGACCTCTTCGTCAACAGCAGTCAAGAGCCTCAACAGTTGCTGTCGTTCTTCGAGCTCAAAGCAGAGAATAAGGTGCTCATGGCTCGTCCCGCGAAGCCCAAGTCCCAAGAGTTCAACATGAAGGAGGCTACACCAGCAGAGATGCGAGGCTTCAGGGAGGCCGATGCTGCAGAATGGAGAACGATTCTCGATCTGAACGCAGTCAAGATCCTTAGTCAGGAGGACTCAAGACGTGTGAGAAAGGAAACACCTCATCGAATTCTCCCATCAAGGTTCGTGCGCAGAAAGAAGCCTATGCCAGGAGTAGGACAGTGGAAGTTCAAGAGTCGCTGGTGTGTTCTGGGTCATTGTGATCCGGATAACGGCACCTACTCAACGTACTCTCCAATGCCCACTACTGAGAGCATTGCTGTTTTCTTTCAAATTTGTGCCAACCTGAAACTTTCCATCAGTTTCTGCGACGTCAAGCAAGCATTTTGCCAATCGGAACCACTCTGTCGACCACAAGGAGAGTTGTATGTTGAAGCCTGCCCAGGTCTCGACTTGCCAAAAGACACGGTGATACAATTGATAGCACCAGTGTATGGCTTAGAAGACGCCCCTATTCGTTGGCATCAGACAGTGATCAACTACCTGGGAGAACTAGGGTTTCAAAGATCCCTGCTAGAACCATGCTGGTACTACAAGCGAGACAATAGAGGCGACATAGAAGCCATGATACTTGTGGAAGTCGACGACCTGAACGTCGCCGCTCGCTCAGACGTCAAAGAGTGGATCTTGAAAGAGCTTAGTGAACGTTTTTTGTTTGGCAAGATGGAGCATGATGAGGCTGATTTCGCTGGAAGACATGTCAAGGTCCTTCCTGACAGGATAGAGATGCACCAAGAGAAATACATTTTGGAGAAGATCCAGCCCGTGAAAATGACACCCGGCAGGAAAGCCGAGAAAGCCGATCAGCTGACCTCAGAGGAGTTTGAATTATTTCGATCCATGCTGTACAGAATAGCGTGGGTAGCTCATCAAACACGACCAGAGGCAGCCGGAGTGGTTAGCATTCTTGCCTCCCGACTCAAGGAAGCCACCGTTCATGACGTTTGCTGTTTGAACCGACTTGCAGCCCACTTGAGAAACACAGCGCAGCAGGTTCTCACCATTCACTCATTCAAGACCGAAGACATGGTTTTGATAGCAGCATCCGATGCCGGCGGTGTAGATAGTTTGCCACCATCGCCAGACAGTGCCATTGACAATGTACAAGGAGCATGGGTGATCATGGCAGCCGGACGCATGCCAAGCGCATCACAGAACACCAAGGTGAGCATTCTGAGCTGGCGGTCATCGAAACTTCGACAAAGAGTGGCATCGACCTTAGCAAGTGAAGCTCTAGCCTTTAGTCAGGCTCTCGCAGAAGTCGAGTGGGTGCAGATCATGATCAGAGATGTCATGTATGGCGATGTTCTTAGACGGGATTGGATGCAGTCACTGAACCCCTATGTTCCTGTTCTTAGGGAGAATTGTGAGTTGCATCAGAGGTTACAACAGTGTCATGTGACTGATGCGAAGAGCTTGTTTGATTCCCTTCAGAAGAAGAGTCCATCATCCCGTCAAGACAGGCGCACCTCCATAGAACTTAGCATCATCATTGAATCAATGGCTAAGTCTCGTAGCGCATTGCGCTGGGCACCTCACCCCAGAATGATAGCTGATTCTCTGACGAAGGACGATATTTCCAAGACCAACGGAGCGCTAGAGGATTTGCTCAGGACATCAAAGCTGTCGCTCTGGGACGAAGAACACGAACTGAGGATTCGTAAGGAATCTCCGACGGCC